TTGGGTCTTGATATGGCTGTTACGACCAGATACAAACCTCAAGATTGACATTGTTTCATGTGTACTTGACTTTAGTGTCCCAGCACGGTTTGATGCGATAATGCCGTTGTAATGTGCAAGGTAAATAATGCTTTGTAATTTGCTTCCAGACCAAATGTCTCCATGAATCGATATAAGTGGGTTGATGAGTCATTTACGGTTGCTAACAATTTTCTGAAATCACTATCATACGACGCACAATTCCGGCTCTAGTTGGGTCATACAGCATTGTGCTCTGTTGTGGATCCGCCACATTGACATGACAGCAATAACTACTGCCGATTATATTTTTGCTCTGGTAAAACCATCAGTGTACCCGTGCACATTTCTCGGCTTCATATCGTATCATATGTTTGAAGATAAACCACCGCTGTTTTCAGATGTTTGTTTCTTGCTTTTGGACAACAGGAAATCAGACGTACCTCTTAAATAAATAGATGGTGCAAACGCACCAAAATATTCATCACAAAAGACTCCACTTAAGTTTCACAAGCACTTGTCGCTGACTTAGTATTTGCCGTAGGCGGGCTGGGGCTGCTGGTAGCTGTTGTCGTAGCTGACCTCGGGAGTCGGGTACTCGGTGGGCACCGGGGTCGGCAGGATGTCACTGGACGGCTGGTAGCCGTCCTCGTCGGCGACAAAGGTGACCTTGACGGGGTTGCCGTAGCCGTCAGTGTAGCTCCAGGAGCCCTCCTGCTTAAAGCTTCCCTCCTCCTGTCCGTACTGGTTCTTGCCGTAGCCGGGCAGAGGGACACCACTCTCGGACCTGACGACAGATGGCAGCAGCGTCAGACACGATGCTTGCTGCTTGTGTTCTTAACAGCGGCGGGCTGAATTGTCATTAGACACTAAGAAGTGACTCATGCAATGAGGTTCGTGTTCAGTTTTCATTTTGAAACAGACCTGTAGATGCCGTTTTCGGTGTTGAAGTGAGAACTGTAGGTGCCATCTCCTGGGTGAACGTCCTCTTGCTCGAGGATAGCGATGGGCTTGTAGCCGCTGTGGCCGTGGGAAGGAGCCGGGGCGTAGCTGGATTGCGGCCGGTCAGCGGCAGCCGCCAGGGCCAAGACAGTAAGGATAATCTGAAAACATGGGGCATATCGCTACTCCGCCGTGGCAGCAGGGATATTTATACCGGATTTTCATTGCCTCAGAAGCATTGGTTGAAGTGGTCGATAACATGATCGCTGAAAGGGAAAAAGCTGTGTACACAAGACTTGCAGACCATTCCTTCGAGGCGATTAAATGTAGTTCGCCATTGGTTGCACTGGCGAATTTCAGTAATATGACGATGAGCCTAAGCCAACAGCTCTTGCTGAGCACCTCCAATACTTACGGTCTTCATGCTGCTCTGAGTGAGTTTGAAGCTGAACCGGTGCCTTCTGTTCTTTCGGCTGTCATTATATAGTCCCGACCCCACCTGACCCTGTGAAGTTTGGGCGGCCACGCCCCTCTGACCGCGTCGACGGCAAGCTTCCTGGTGGTTTCCACGGGAACCGCCGAGAAGATCAAGTTACTTGGTTGTAAATCGTCTTAATACGCGATGAGACCGCATATAACACGAACCTCTCATTGTATTCTACTGGTTTTATTACTCGTATCTGGAACCGGGTGCAGTCCATATATTCAGGTTCCGCTTTTTCCAAATATCAGACTTGAGCAGAATTACCATAGTTAGAACTTTCAACTTGAGAAATCAGGTACTGCGCTGTGCACATGGAACTGGAGAATTCAAGGGCTAATACTTTGGTGCCTTTGGACTGAGCCATGACTACCTGACAAATAAATCATGTTAGGTATGGGTCAGCTTCTGCATGTTAAATTGGTGAGATTAATATTTTGAATTTTCAGTAGTGATCGTGATCAGATTACCCTGTTTCGAATCCCAGCAATTCCAAGGGAAAATCTACCATGTTGCGCTTGAATGATGGAAGGGGTATCATTAATTGTGAAGACCCGATAACACGTGACGACGATTAGCTGGTTGGTTCGCCGAAACGTTCTGTCAGGGGCGAAAAAGGGCCTTTTTGGTTATCGACGAAATTTTGAACTGTCTAAAATTGTCACTGTGAGGCAAATCTTTTAGAACCTGTTGCAGTATAACTCTGAATGCGATGCACAAAAAACAACAACTGAAATTCGACGCGGCGTAAGAATCAAATATTTTCGTTTTGGGTGTTCAGTCACACCAAAGTATTAGTCTCTGGCCATCAAGCACTGCATGATGGTTGAAACTAAAGTAATGAATTAATCAGATAAAGGCATACTAAACATAACCAGCCTAGAGGCGTGCAGTTTCCTTTTCAGTGTGCGGGGGGGGGGGGAATTCTATCTCCTAGCCAGGGATGCATTTGCTCGTTTTTATTGATAATGTTTCTTCGTCATTTTCCACACATTATCATCTTTATGGTTCAAACACCCAAAACTATTTTTGAGAACATGCACCCTTGCTTCCGACTCCAAAAAGAAAGTGCTTCAAACCTGGGGAGAAAACTGCCCCAAGTGCATTTCAGAGGCAAGCTCAGCGATTTTTTCTCCTTTCACCCCCTCTATTCCTACGACCCTACGTATTTTACAAAACTGTATCCCTGTAGCCAGAAATTTACCAAAACATGGTTCTACAAGCACCTAAAACAATATCATTTCCTGGTTTCGTGACGTCATTGTACAATCAGCTGGAAGTAATGGCGACCTTCATTATAGTCGCATAATCATTACCGGCACAAAACCCACACTTCCCAACACAATCCCAATGAATTAGTACAAAATCCACCTAATATCGTAATCAAAAGATGCAAACGGCATTTGTAGCACTTAATCACTTTCGTTCAACTCTATGTTCAATTTGATGACAATTAGAAATGCTTCATCTCACGCCTGTCCACTGGTCAGGAGGCTAAGTGTGAGGTGTAACGGGCAGTGTGAGAGGCCTGCGCCAACGATTCTCGGCCTCTTACCTCCAAGCCGCTGTTCCTCTCAGCAGCAGAAAGCCCCGGATGAACGCTTGACATGTGTCGCCCCAACGCCCACGTTGGCCATTGAGGCTACAGTTCGGGTATCCGCAAAACAACAAGCCTCTTAGATCGGCAGGGCCTTGTAACGCTTTCCCAGGGACGTCCCCATGGTAGATACTAGAAAAGCCACACGGCGCCTTACAAAACAGACGTTTGGCTATGTTTCTCTAGCCAGTCATCTTCTCACAACATGAACACAACCAACGGTGGCCCACAGCCTTGCACTAAACTCGGTTGAGTACCGCGTGGCGAGCATTTCGGCCTATTTGTCTCAAATAGTACGATGCGTTAAATACGCCGCGTAACAAACGGATTACGTTCGTTGCAAGATGATGTAGCCAGCCATGATTCTTACTATTAGTGATAAGCATAGTTATTTTGTATTTTATGCTGTTGAGTATTTGAAGTGAATTTTGGCTGAAGAAATATGTGAGAAGCACTGATTTGAGGGGAATTAGAAAAGCCAAGTGTCGCCACTGATCTGTGACGTCACCACTGCTATAGTGCAGTTTGTATTATGTTTCTGTGACCAGCTAAAAACCATTCAGATTATAGCTGCTATATTTGGCGACACTTTGTGGCTCAACGTGCTCACACAGTGAAACGTTCGTTTCGACATGTGCTCTACACGTGCGATGCATGTGCTCACGCTGCAAGCGTGAGCGTGTACAGAAGGCTTATACAGCAGACTAATACTAAGGTTTGAGTTTCGTCTAGCTGTGATATCATATGTTCCGGTCTATTATGATTTGCTTCCATTTCCGCAATTTTGTCACTAAATGGCTCGCACAAGCGTCTGCTTTTGTTACCGATCATGTCCGTTAAATTAGAAGCTTTTTCACCCCTGCATTCTGTACATACCAGCGCAGCAGAAAGAAGTGATGGCCAATAAATTGTCAGTGCTAATATTATTGTGGGCCTGGTACCAAAGAAAGTTTGTTTAAGATAGCTGGGAACTTATAAGTGGTAAAATCATTCCCGGTCAGAGAGGCAAAATTAAGTTTCGAGGGTACTGTCAGTCTTTTTCTTGTCGGGTCGTAACGACCGAATGGTGCTCCGCTTGCAACTTTAAACGCCATCTCACGTCCCAGGTTTGCTTCTAAGAATCGCCGTGATTTGGAACAGGACACTTTTTGGTCTAAGCATTCACCCATGAGTGGGAGGCCAGGAGTGCCCTCTACATGAGTCTAGCTTTATTGCAATAATGTATTTTGCTTGTGAACCTTTTGCGTTCATGCTTATATTATATGCTGTGCACCGAAATGAAAACTATATGCATATTACATAAACTGCCATGGTATACAGAGCACATGGAGCGCTGGGCGCGTATCCCTCAGTCAATAACTGTGGATCCCCAGGTTGGGAAGAAGAGAATGAAGTGACACAGGTTGTGTAGAAGGGCGTTTCTTTTCATAGTGTTCACCACCGCATATCAGAACGGAACAAAACGAGACACCAAGCAATGATATGGAATGTTTTGTCGGTTTCGTTCGGCTGGTCTATGGGTGCTCATTGCCATTGTTTCTTTTGTACATCTTGAAGTCAGGTCATTCTCCTTAGTAATTGTGCTCGCGCTAAAGCATTGGTGTTTCTAAAACATTGTTTTTTGGGTTAGATATCAGAACATATCCGAAATGCTGTTATGAGTTATTTAGTATTTTCTTCTCAAAAATCACTCATAGTTTTACCTCTATGACGGCTTGTTAGCCATAGCCGGCCGTCGGGTTTCGGCATCTTATTCTATTTTGGTATTTCAGCCGTTAGGATGAAATATCAGGCTCATCATCGCCATTACTTCATGCGCAATTGACATTGGGCCGCTACACGGTTTGAAGCTATGATGCCAACATTATGTTCAGGAAAAAGTTTTATAATTCTAAGCTTCATCAATGCAAAAGCTAACTTTGAGCTGGAACTTTATCAATGTACATCCGTGCACATTTTTGG